ATAATAACATACATATATATAAAATAAAATAAACAGAAAGTTAAATACATATAAAGGAATCCATGGGAAGTTTTAAAAGTTTCTTTCATTCAACCCGGTAATGGGTGCTTCTCACAATATTTTCTTCTCACACAGGCGCTTTTCCGAGTCACTTATGCGTTAGAAATAGGCTTTTCTCTTGTAAAACTTTATTATTGATATTAACAAAGTTTTGTTATATAAGTTCTGTAAAATATAGGGCAAAGTCAAAATACTTGATGTCAGGATTCTCACTTATAACGTGCGTTGAAAATATTCGAAACTTATCTATTGAAAAAAAAATTACTACATCTTTTTTCAATAAATTAAATTCTACTTATTCTTGAAAGATTGCTAAAATTAAGTAATCAAATGCGATCTCTTGGTGAATCGAAATTTCGCTTAAACGGTTCGAAAAAGTCTGAAACCGTTTGCGAACAAATAAAACAATTTTTTTTTTCTATTTTGATTATATGCATAACAATTAATTTCTAAAACTTAGTTTTCAGACTAAAGCATCATTTTATACATAGGCCATTACTTTTTTTTTTTTTATATAAATTTAAATAAAACAAACTTATACCCGAGTTGTATATAAATTTCTTGTATTGAATGGATAACAGGATTATTTTTTTACGACTGTCATACAATATTTTATAAAATTATAGTTATATATGTTTTATGTTATACATGCAATAGATAATTATATATTTAATTATTATTATTACTACATATATATAATTATATATGTAACGTTATATAAAAATGCTAATAGTAATTCGCTAAAAACGAATCCATGCGTAGTTTCAATGCCAGATCTAATCTCTATTTTTTTCTATCTAATCTATTCACTATTCAGCGAAGATATTATATAAATAAAAATACTAATTTCTAATCACAGCGTGTACGGCTGTCATAATCTGAAACATTTACCACTATGATTGAGTGATACGAATAAATACTCAGGAATTTGTTAATTACATTGTTAAAACTGATCAGTATTTTTAAACGATCTGGATCGCTTTTATTAGAAATATTATTTACCAGGACTTGAAACGGAAAAAACTTTTATTTTAAAACAGTTTCAGTATCAGTAGAAGTTTTAAGATGAGAACTATTTTGAAGGTTAAAAAAAAAAAAAAAAATAGTCCAGTTAATCTTCATTGACATATTATTTCAAAAGTAACTTTACTTAAACACTTTTTTTTTTTTTTGCTCTTGACATTTGTAAAATATATCGAGCACAATGAAAATATAATATTAATAATTATACTATGATTTATATTATATTATAATATGATGATCATAATTAATTGTGTACCATGGAGGTAAACAAGACCATGCCCATTCTTGTATTTGTTCAAGTGAGGCAATGTTTCATAACTTTAAGCCACTATCGGATCCAGGATTTAATTTTTTTTTTTGGTGGGGGGGCTTCAGCCCGATAGATTTTTTTTCATATAAATATAACGATAATTAATTTGAAAAAAAATAAAGAAATTAACTACATATATAAAATGGTGTTTAAGTGGTTCTTGAAGTCCTGTTAAGTGTAATTAAACGAACAAGAATACTTTAAGAGGTGGTTTTTAATATTTTTTTTCTGTAAAACATGATTATATTTTACCATTTTGGGGGGCTTTAAGACAAAAGCCTCCCTCCCCGTAGATCCGCCTGTGCTTTAAACTATTAAAATTTGTTTCTATAAAGATGTGACATTTTTGTATTTGTTCAGTGAGCCAATTTTCCATAAATTTGAACTAGTAAGATCTGTTCTTCGTTACTAAATTATTTAACGAAAATGAATATGGTGTCGTTTACCTTCGGAGCATAGAATAATTAATAAAAAATTGTTATTATTGTTATTGTCACAAATAACCTATGGGATCGAACTAGTAAATAATTGATTAACAAAAAAAACAATGATAATAAAAAAAGTCAGATCTAAACGGAGTTAATTTTGCTACTAAATCACACATAACAAACGAACATTTGCTTTAGTAACATCGAATTACATATTCTGAAAATTAAATTTAAATTTTGAAAACCATAAATGTTAATAATTATCATGAACAGGAAGGGGAATAAAAAAAAAAGATATACTAACAGGAAGAAATAAAAAATGAAGTGTACTAACCTAACCTCGATTGCTCCAGTACGACCCCTTGGTCCGATGCAGTCCAAAATAAAAACCGGTTTTTGGAAGGGTAGGAAATGATTTCTCTGAATGCATTTCAGTACAAACGGTCCAGACTATGCATCCGTTGCTAACCCACTTAGCGAAAAAAAAAAAAATATATATATATATAGTGAAAAAGCTTTAGATTTCGAAGCGCTTTTGATAATTTGGTACTAATATTAATATTTCTAAATATCTTTCTGATGGAAGATTCCAGTGGAATTTAAAATATGTTCGGTTCAATAATCATATTTCAAACAATTTTTGTTTTATCGTGGTGACACAAAATATTTTAAATTATTGTGATACGAATTCTTCAGTTTTTTTCTCAATCAATGAGGCAATTTTTAACGTAATCAATTAATAATGTTTTTTTTTTAATAGGGCCATATTATAATAAATACCTGAGATTCTTTTCTATATAGCTCGGTTTAATTTTTCTTTGTTATAGTAAGTTTTTTTTTTAATATAATAATAAATAAAAACTATGAAGTTCTATACAATTTTTATTTCGTAGAATAGGTCATTATTGTGGGTTGATGGTTGTCTGATTGAAGGGAAGTATGGTTGGGGTGATCAGTCAAATAAATAATGGCAAAAATAAATATTATTATTTATTTTTGCCGTTTTTTATTTGACTGATCACTCCAATTATCCTTCTCTTCAATCGGTCATTATATTCTAGCCCAACATAATGTTTAATTTTCGATATATGCACGGCGTTTTGATTTATGACGCACAGATTTTAATTTGTTATAACAGTATACATTTTAAAAAACGTTGATTATTATAATCACTGGCAAAACATTAAAGTAATTTGAATAATATTTCTCGAGACTAAGATGCTATTTCAAATTTGTGAAATGTTCTCTAGAAAGAAAAAAAATTGCTATGTGCTAAAAATTAATACATACCATTAAAAAAATATATATGAAGTTAAAAACGGGACCGTCAGATCAGTACAACGATTTTTTCTATTAATAGTTTTTTTTTTTAATTTAATTATTTTTTATATTACTCAGCTATTTCCTCATATAATTAAAAATAATAGCGGCATTAAATTGAAATATCAGAAAATTTATTATAATTTACTGGAATAATTTTATAAAATAGAGAAAATTAATTTTATTTCCGATTTAATTTATAAAAACAGTAAAAAACTTATTTTAGAAGAAATAAGCAAAAAGACACTTGCTGAATTTTCATGATTCATGGATAAAAAAACAGGCACAAACGTTTCATATATGAAATATAGTGACAATAAGCGCACAATCTTATAATTAGACAAAGAAAAAAATAATTAGTTTTTGAATGTTATGAAATTTTTTTTATACTTAATTAACTTTTGATAATTTATAAAAATGAATAAATTTAATATAAGCTCAATATTATTCTTTACTAACCTAGACCAGTGGATGGAATAACATCTGAATGGAGTGGTTACTGGAGAAATTTAGCTTAGCCAATGAACTAGGAAACTATAGATTCTTTCAAGAAGACTGACATAGTTTTGAGATGTTTTAGCTGAGTTTTCATTACGTTGGGTAACCTGACCAAATTGTTATGTTTTATTGAGAACATTGTTTACCTTCCATTCCATTTCCCTTTGTTTGATCAACGCAACTTTTATTTAAACCACGAGTAAAAAAAAAAAAAGAAATGTTATTTCGGTATTGTTTATAAATACCCGCGAATATTTAGTTGTATTATAAATTAGATTTTATTATTGAATATTTCAGGACGGTTAGGGTCATCGTTTTTTTAGATAAAAATAAAATAATTATATTATACTTTCTTAAAGTCAGTACACAGACAAATCAATGAATTATTTGGTTGTTCTAAGCTATTTGCAAAATTTAATTTTTGTGCGTAGCTGCAGTTTATCTACATATTGTCGATATATTTTCAAAAAGGGTTGAAAACAGTTTTATTAAATATTGGCCATTAAATAAAAGATAATTTAAGAGAAATATATATTGGTCTGCTACAATTAATACTTCGTTTTTCGTACAAATATCTTCGTGCAAACTCTTCGAGAAATACAATTTATTTTTTAAATTTTTCTTTAGTATGCATTAAAAAAGTTTAATAAAAATTAATGACGAAACCCAATAGATGTTTAAACATTATCATACAATAATCAATCATAACATGATCGGCTATTATTATTATTTATTTTATTTTTTTTTTTTGTTGTCTTCTCCAACTCAAAACGATTGCATATATAGTTTCCTCTATTGAACCTCAATAAAAAATAAATCCACAAGACTTGTCGTCACACACTACTTGTAGATAAAGCACTAAACTCCCTATCACTACTGCTAATTATTGAAACACGGGATCTTTCAAGATAAAGTTTAACAAGACAGTATATTTAAAAATCAAAACTGTATTTCAAAAAATGTTAATATCAATGTAACCGTTGTTTTCAAGCATATAATATTATTGTTGTGTAATAAAAGCCTTCATTCACTTTTATAGTGTTATATAAATTCATTTAAAATCAGAACGATTTTATTTTTCTCAATTTATTTTATTGACATGAATTCACAAATTATTCTGTAATTTATAACTGCAGAAAAAGTATGATAATTTCTTAATTGCTGAATACAAGAATAATAGAAAAAAAAATGTAAAATCTATAATTACGATTTTTAGCTGTATCATATATAAATATAAATATAAATATATATATATATATATATATATATATATATATATATATATATATATATATATATATAAATATAAATATATCAATAAATTTATAGATATCCTTACCTAAAATGCATGATTACATATAAATTATTCATAAGTTATAACACAAACCCAAAAGAACAAGACCTGCTTAAAATCAGTTTACCATGACCCATATTCAAAATATGGTCCACCATTGGTTTAACCTTTAAGGCAATGCCGGCTCATGTTTTTTTAAATAGGCTCGCAATGAATTTTTTATTTCTACAATACATTAAAACAAATGCCTATCAGATGATTATTGAAAACGTCATAAACTAGATCAATATTCACAATTCATAGTTTATTCACTTTATTACAGCTTTAGTATAGGTTATAATATATATGATAATTGTAATAATAAAAAAATATTGTTTCATTAGATAAGAAAATGTCTTAGTCAGCATACAACTGTCCATTTCAGACCACTTGATATCTCCCAGAAAATGCTTTGATGACTATACAAATTAATTGAAAATTCACGGCATGATATGCTAGTTTAAATTTTTTAAAAATGTTTATTTTTCATTTACGCATTTGTATTTATATGCGAGAGTATAGCTTACTAAACTCACCCTAAGTCACATTTTTCATCAGAGGCATTGAATGTAGTAATCAAGGGTCCGAAACAAGTTTTAGAACTCATAAATTTGCGAAATATTTGTTTACGATTTTGATTTCTAAATTAAATTTTTGTATTCGCAATATTTCAATTTCTACGTCATTATCGTTTTTTTTTTCGAGGTTTATTGGTAATGATAGATTTTTAATTTAATTTAAAATTTAACGGTTTCTATAATCAGTTTCTGAATGATACCGTTTTTATTATAGCGAGAGGAATTTTATAATAATAATAATAGCATTAATATAAATCAGTAAATACTCAAGAGACAGATATTCAACGTTAGGTTATAATTGGAAAAATCCCTCATGTCTCCAAAATGTTGGCTAAGAATTAATTGTTTTATTCTTTATCTGCAATTTTGAGTCATAAGGCTCTGTGGTTGCTATGTTTCCAATTATAACCTAAATAATAACATCATGCTTGAGAATAAATCACTTCAACTTTACATGGTGGAAATACAATAGAAGCAAATATATCTTTTATATTACATATACTCCACATATTATGAAATATATTTGCATGGATAAATAAACGATTTTTTTCCCTCTAAAATAACGTAATGTAAAAATATTAACGAAATTTTAGAAACCCGTATAAATTATAATACAACGATTTTAATTTTATAAGTATCGTCATACTGTATAAACACATCTTTATTGGTCTTTTATCTTTTAAATAATTAATTTAATATAAATTTCCACTCATAAAAATAAAACGAAAAAAAATAAGTTATGAAATGGTTGCTATTGGTAACGATATCATTAGGGTTATAATTTATAGGTTATAAAGGTACTGTCTTAATTATTAAATAATCATTTGTCCATTAAAATAGTAGTTAATCATTTTTAGCGCATAATATATTTAAGAGATAATTTCTGAGGACTATAATTCATATTAAATTAAGGTGGTGAATTACTATTTTATGAGTATTAAAAAAATTAATAAAAATATGATTTGATGGATTTACTGAAAATATTAAATAAATAAGTTTCTATGTTTTGCTTATTTATTACTTCTGTACAAGATACTCATCTTCATCTTCCCGTTCCTGTTTCACTTCACACGTGCTAGACAGTTCCTGTTCAATGAGTTCAGACAAGAGGGACTCCAGTTTGTCTACCGCCGAAGAACCAGGTTGGCTAAGCGTCGCTTCGGTGGCCGAGTTTTCTGTTTCTTTCTCTATAATGGTCTCCTCATCTTCACCTTTTTCAGAGCCTTCAATGTTGACCGCTCTTGCAAAAGCTTCTTCCAAGTCTGATTCAGTGATGTCCACTTCCATTCTCTCTTCTTCGCGGGCCTTCCCTCCTTCCTCGATATCGCTCTCCGTGGTGACTACCCGACTATATTTGATTGGGGACTTGACTCTCTTCCTCAATCTAGGCTTTCCTGGTCCTTGCAAAGTCCTCATCAATTCGTTTAGATAGTATTCCAGAGCAAGGTTTCCTTCGAGCTTGAGGTTGAGAGATAGTAATGTCACGGCACACCGTTGGTCCCCAATGTACAAAACTAACCTCCTCAAGATGAAAACGGGCTCATCCATAATTCTCACTATCCTTTTCACTGGGCCTTCTTTGTATCCTTTCTTTTCTATTCTTCGTTTTTCACTCTGAGATGTGATGATCTTCCGCAGAGATTCTGCATCCATTGAAGTGATGTCTTCGGTGGAATGTATGAATCACAGATAAAAAAAAGAGGTTATGTGCAATTGAAATATAAACATTCATGTGATTTGATATTTTTACGTCAACTCAAAAGCATATAGACACACCAGCTGTATATAGCTCGTTCTGAAAAAGTATTTGTGCTGAGCATCAGTCAAGTTCGTTTAACAGAGTGTAGTTTATACTCAGACATAAAGCTGCAAAGTCAGCAAATAGGTTAAAACAAACAGAGATCTAAATAACGATTAGTATGTTTTAAACATATGTTACATTGAGAGGAATCATATTTGCACTTGATCTACAGAGGAATGAATTGAAATAATTGTCTGAATATGAAACCAACTATAAACTTTCAGTATTCGTTCATTTACAAAACAGATTTGCTTAATGCTGCCGTCTGAGGTCACTATTTGGAGTAATACATTGTTTATCAATATTTATTCCTCTGTTTCCTGTTTATTACTTCATCAATAAATAAGGAAGCTTTGTATTTATGAATTAGAACAAAAAAAAATTCTTCAGAATCGAAAATTTACATTCGAGTTTTACGTATTGGAACGGATTTGTTCCCGTGTCTGTCTATAATCATATACATATAACAGGCATTCCACCTAATATCCTTAATCCGAATTTCACATAAGTTCCTGACACAGAAGTGCATCAGACCTCCACCTTAATCTGAATTAAATGAAGTGTCACGTTAACATATTTTCTTAACAAAACTATACTTCAATTACGGTCAATTCAATTTGGCCCGAAATTAGAAGAAATTTGAGGAAAAATAGAAGAAAAAAAAATAGTCCAGAACCAATTTTATCGAATTCCACCCTTAATCTCTGCTTACGTAATTGTATTTTCCTTTGAATGGCTATATTTAAAAAAACGGTACTTTCAATTTGGTTCAAAGATGGAGGAGTTTTGAGAACTAACGTACAGAAGTGTCAATATAAGTTGTATCAAATTCCATAAAATTTTTGTTCTTGACTTCTATAGTACTTTTCAGGATACAGGTGTAAAATTCTAATTTAAGTTAAATCATATTATAGTATTACGCACTCTAATTTTAATGGCTATAAATCAGTCAAAAGCATATAGAGTGTGTTTTTTGTAATAAAAATTTTGTTAATTTTTTTTTAGGACAGATTCTCCTTACGATAACGAATGAACATATTATAACTCGTTGTTGGCGTCCTACGTGTTGGTCATGCGCAAATATGTTTTTCTTGGATATATAAACTTTTCTCATTTTATTCTTACGTAAATTTTATTCTCAACAACAGATGATTGAACTTAAAATTATGTATAAAGTAAAGATTGTGAAGAAGCTATACTACTGACATCCTACTTGGCTTCTTTTTTTTTTTAAATTGATGGAATTAAAATAGTGAGGGTTTTGATTTAAATAGTATTTTATTATTGTGGGATATTATTATAGGGTTTATTTCCGATTTCAGGAAAGCCCAATACATATCTATATACACAAATAATATTGTTTTTAAATTTATTATAGAATCACAATAAAATTCATGTTTTTTAAACAATAAAATTAGACTGTAAAGGTAAAAATCATAATAAATAAACCTATATTTTTATATCATGGCTCCCATCCATCGCCCATATCTCGACCTATTTTTGCATTATCTGCACTCAGGGACAGTTCTTCAGCCGCATCCAACGTCAAAGGTTACTTTATCGCACTTGAGATAAACATTTTTGGTCTTTTCATTTTGAAAACAATAACTGAGCCACATGAGAGAAGTTCCTGCCCAAGCGTAGTACGGTTAAGTTAATTTTTTATCTTCTCTGCTTTACAAATCCATGTCTTGGCAAGAATTGTTTGAATTTTATTTCCCCTTTTAGAAAAAATAATATATCAATTTTTTTTAACAGCTATAAATTTCTCTAAATCGATATCAGTCCACTTTAAAGCGTTAGTCACGCGAAAAAATTCTTGTATTTATTGTTTCTTGCCTGCTGATAATTTTAATTTTTTTTTTTAGAAACAAAATATAATTAAAATTTAAATTAAATGAAAAATATTAGGAATGATCCAGAATATTAAAATAAAGGAGTAATATAATTAACACAGTAATATAGTAACACACCCACAGAAATATATATTTATAATTTTCACTTTAATTTTATAGTTATACATAATAATTTTATACTTAATGATAATAAAAAAGAATTATAACAATTTATCTAAATGATGATCAGAATTAAAGATATAAAAAATATTGTGCGGTTTTCGTTTATATATAGTTTCATTAAATAGTAATCAGAAATATAACGGTTTTATTGTTTTTCATTTCCTAACCTTATATGTCTAAGAACTTTAATATTTTTTTCTTATGTGAGATAAGAAAAATGAGCGTTTCTTGTATATCTGATATATAAAAATGACTATATTTGATAAATAAAAGAGTTGATTCATTTTAGTGAAGTTACTGTGTGTGTGTTTTTTTCTATAAGTAAGATGAAGATTTACAAAGGGTTTTGCTCCATCGAAAATGTGTTTAGTGACTTTTGGCCATAAACAGATGGTCTGAGGAAGAGTTTTATGAAAATAAAAACTAAGACTGAAACTGAAAGACAAAAGAAAATATAATAAGCTTGTTTCAATGTATAAATACTAGAATTCGGAATAAAGTATTCTTGTCTTGTATTTTTTTTTTTTTTTGTCAACCGAAAGTTATTGAATCACTCCCATATTTTCCCCCTTAAGTTATCCCAAACAGAGAGGAAGCTGCGAACGGATCTTGAAGACGTCACAAATAAGGAGTTGACACGCGCTGACGACGTAACCTCATTTCCTTAATCCGTTGAGCCCGGAGTATTTTGGGGCCCGAGTTTTAGCGGCCACGGCCACAGCCCTCACAGATATTAAACAAAATGTGACGATTTTTCATCAGAAAAAGAGGAAATAGAAACGGGAGGAGTGCGGAAATTGCGCGGAGCACACTAACTCCCCCCTACCTACCGGGCCCCTCCTATTATTTTTGGTATTGATCCAATATGTACATGAAGGGCGGACTCTAGGCCTGCTTTTTGAGGGTTCCTCCGTCATCAACTCCAGAGGAGAGCGTACTTCGTCTTCTTGGAGGCCTCTTGTCAGGGTCACTGGGGGAGTCGGTCACTACTTGTCCGTTGGTCCGTGGATGGCGTGACTCACCTCCTGTTTACGTTCGCCAAACTCCAGTGATATTCTAATTAATGGAATGAAATAGCGAATTTAACAAACGAATTAACTTATTTTGTATTAATTATATAAATTTACATTAGGCGCTTGCAAGGGACAACAACACTTTTATAACACAGGCGGATTTACGAGGGGAACTTTCGGGCTGAAACCCTCCCAAAATTGTAAAGTTTAACCATATCATATGATAAAAAATATTTTTAAAAAACCTCTTAAATTATTATTGTTCTTGTAATTACATTTAATAGGACTACAAGAATCACTTAAACACCATTTCATATATGTAGTTAATATTTTTTTCCCTAAATTAATTATCGTTATCAATATGAAAAAAAAGCTTTTTGGCTGAAGCCCTCTCCCCCCCTCCAAATTTAAACCTGGATCCGCTGGTTACAATAGTATTATCCAGAAGCGGTTCCAGGATTTAATTATTTTTTTTTATAACAGTAGTTACTCTGAAATAAAAACAATTCATTACCTAGAAATGATGTTGTAGTGGTCTATAATAGAAAAAAAACGGTAATTACTGGAACAACGTTTTTTTTAATATAAAGTTTTTTTTTTCTTGGCACGTGCTTACATTTAGTAGCTGTAAAAAGATCAGGTATGACTGTTTTTTTTTATGTTCTTAATTTACTTATCTTTAGGTTATTTTTTTATTGTACATAGTTTTTTTAATATTATTATTTTACTTTTGTTAATTTTATATTTTTTATATATATGGTGCGAATGTGTTCATATATCACTATAATTTATGTACACGAGACAGATTGTTATTTGTCGAAATAAATAGTAGCTGTATATACATCATCGCTTACAAAAGAGAATATATTATGATTATTTAAGTGTCCAACTTAGATCACTTGCATAAACAAATATGGACCAATAAAATAAAAATTATTTTCCCATTTTGGGAGGTGCTTCTAGTTGTTTCGGTAGCTTTAGCTGTTAACGGTTATAAAAGGAAAACCGACTATCCTTTTAAGCAATAGTATGAATATATATTGTTAAATTTATGAAAAAATACATGCTCATAATAAGTTACCATTAAGCAATAACTGTTTTTTGTTTTTGGAGCAGTAAGGTGGCGCGGTACTTTTATTAGTCAAAGAATGACAAATAAAAATTCTAAAACAAATCCGCTACTGTATTAAATATTAATGATCTATTTCAATCTATTATATATTTTGACACTCATGAATGAATGTTCATTGCTTGGCTTGGTGAAATCATCATGTCACATTTCCAGAAAATCTCTCAATTATTTTTTAGTAGTGTAGCCAAAATGCGAGACCGAGACGAGTCTTGGTCTTGCAAACTCAGTCTTAGTCATGGTCTTGGTCTTGCGCAAGAGTCTCGCAACAGTCTTGCAGTTACTTATTAGCTTATTACTATAGAGATATTACTGTCATTTTTTAGATAGGAGAAACCTAACTAAGCCCGAATGAAAAATTAGAGGAGTTAAATGCCAAAGTGTATTGGTTATTCTAATTATTTACATATAGTAACTAAGATTGTCAAGTATTAGTAACTATTTTGTCTTAAATTTTATTCGAATTTTTTTTTTCACCAGTCCTAGTCTTGGTCTTGCAACAGTTAGGCGGCCTTGGTCTTGCCAAGTGCAAGACCAAGACCGATGTTAGGCAACACTATTTTTTAGGCATAATTGTTGGTAGATACAAAGAATCTTGTTTTCTGTTTTGAATTATTTCTCAACAATGTTGCATAATAGAGAGAAAAAAAAAAGTGAATTAAACCTATAACCTGAATCAAATCTCAATAATTAACTTTTACAAACCCTGCATAAAATGTAGTAATTTCTTATTGTTCGTTCAGACAATCGAAAGTTTATTTGGAATGATCCTTTCGCAACATTGCAGATATCTGACTTTTCCATTCTTTAGAAATCGCCATTATTCATAACAGATGTCATTGTTCCTCCACAGGTTTTGTTTAATTTTACTTCTTGAACTTTAATATAGAATTATTTCTTTATATCCACTTTACTATTTTCTTCGATTCATCTTAGATATTTTTTCTTTTCTTTTGATATTTATTTGTATCTGCGAACTTTATGTTGACTATCAGTTGATGAGCTGACTGACTATACAGGGAATAATGACATGTCAGGCACGGTGAAATATTCAAATATTAGGAAAAACAGCATTATTTGAAGCTTTTTTTTGCCC